TAAATAGTGAAAAGTGGGTGTTACATTGTACAGTGGCATAATGTGCACCTCTGCCTACCCCTTCGGGATAAAAGGCGTGATGTTATGTTATGTTAACCATACTATCACAATTTTTTTACATTTCTACATACCCAATAAAGAATCTTAAATATTTTGGTGGCTCCCAGGTGACACAACTGTCCTAGAATATGATGACGTCGTAAAAATCGACTTTGGTACTCACATCAATGGGCGCATCATTGATTGTGCCTTCACACTGAGCTTCAACCCGCGTTACGATCCATTGGTCAAGGGAGTACAGGAAGCTACTGAAGCAGGCATCAAGGCTTCTGGAGTTGATGTCAGGCTGTGTGACGTAGGAGCTGCTGTTCAAGAGGTAATGGCAAAACATACTTACGTCAACTTTTTATGTAGCTCTTCCAAACACTAATCCACATTTTTTCAATGCCAGGTTATGGAATCACATGAAGTAGAAATTGATGGCCAAGTGTATCAAGTGAAACCCATTCGTAATTTGAATGGACACTCCATTGGACCATACAGTAAGTTGTAAAACTGTTAACTTATAATTATGTTTTAAATTATCAAAATATCTAATCAGAATCCTTTTAGGGATCCACGCTGGTAAGACAGTACCAATTGTGAAGGGTGGTGAAACTACACGTATGGAAGAGAATGAATTTTATGCTATTGAGACATTCGGATCTACTGGACGTGGCCAAGTGCATGATGATATGGACTGCTCTCATTACATGAAGAACTTTGATCAACAATTTGTGCCACTGAGGTAATGTATACTGTTTGCAGATTAGATCTTGTTTCTTCACTCTTAGCTTGTGTTGATTAACATCAAAAATTAATTATTCTTTTTCAGGCTCCAATCATCAAAGCAACTTCTGAACTTGATCAACAAAAATTTCGGAACCCTGGCGTTCTGTAAGCGATGGTTAGAACGCGCAGGTGCGTCTCGTTATGCTATGGCGCTCAAGGACTTGTGTGACAAAGGCGTGGTGGACGCGTACCCTCCGCTTTGCGACATCAAAGGGTGCTACACTGCTCAATTCGAGCACACTATTCTATTAAGACCCACTTGCAAAGAAATCATATCGCGCGGAGATGATTACTAGCGATAGCTGAAGTTGCTTAGGTTGATGTCGCAGCCGGCTTATTTCTTCTCAGATAATATAATTAAATAACTCTGTCAACTGAGACTTACCAGTTTGGCAATACGAGTGTTATTGATTTGGATGGTTTCATTAAAATAGTTACTGACCAACATAATAAACTACATTTAAAATCATATTTTTAAGAACAAGCATCGCGTAAATATCAGTTTAAGTCGTGTTTGTTATTGACGTACCCATTTGTTGCTTTTTAGTATAAGATGTCGTTTTTGGAGCGTATTGTTCGTCCTCAAAGACATTTAACTCTTTGTTGTAACATTGTTATTTCTTTTACTAATCTTACTTTAAAATCGTATTTTTAATACACCCGTATTCATAGCAATTGTGTCGATATCAATATTTGAAAATAAAGTTCTTATACTGGAAATATAATCATTTTTTGTACATCCATCCTAACCTTATATATCCTCTCCTATAGACTAAAATTTAAACTTAACACAATTTCGTTTGCAAATTAGGTCTTACGAGCCAAATTGAGTAATAGGTATATACTCCAATGAATAAATACTTTCTTCGTACTAATTATAATTTTTTTGGACATAGTCATCTATGTAATTAAAACTTAAATAAAATATTATGTATGTTTTAAAACTTTATTTTTAGGAAAACGCTAATTACTATCGCAAATATAAACGATTACATTCATAATTTAAGTATGTATTACATAATATCAATACAAAATCTTTCGCCAATAGCGGATTTATAAAAATGTATAAAATGTAATGAAAACTGAACATCAATCACTAGCATTTACCCAATTTACTTGTCTAATTCTACAAACATCTACTCCTTTCTAACATTTGCGAATACTTAATACCTCTAAACGAGTCCTGCTGTAAATTGCTTCAGTAAAAATGACAAATAAAGGAATCAATGTTCAGTCTCTTCTAATCGGTCTACATTATTTTCAAATGTCATGCAAACACTTGAAAGGCCTCTTAATCGTTTACTAATTAGGTACGTGCCAGTAATACGTAATCTCATTAGTGCAATTCTTCAATTCATTATTACAAGTAATTGGGAAGTATTAAAATTATAAATTTAACTACTATCATTTAAAAATTGGGAGTACGTTTGCCACACTAATACATAATAATGATAATGAATAAATAATAAATACAATGTTTTGTGATCCCTATTAGTTACGAGTTACTGCCCTATTTCATTACGACACCACGACCGTATGAATCGACTTGGTTGCCTAATCAATTGGTTACCGGAGACCAAATCAACCACTGGTAAACCATTCATTTGTATAAAGATATTTATGGTACCCCAGTTAGCAACCTATTGTGAGACCAGAGATGGGATGTTGCGTCATATCATAAGTATATGAAGTTTTCGATGTCAATTTATTTTGAAGCTGACAGTATAGCAGTTTATTTTGAAATCCGTCGCTTTGTTGCTCATGGGTACATAACTGGTCGTACGGCCATGTTGTCGTATTAAAATAGTGGGCACTAATTAGGACATTTATATGCCACATGTGTGATCAGTTTTATCTGTCATGTAAATTATAGCATTATTACAAAATGTAACCAATTTCAACTAACACAAACCTCATGATATAATATTATGTGAAAAACAAAATAAGTACTACCACTTCAAATATTAATTAAAACAAACATATTAACACTAAAAATATATCCTACACTCAGAAATATTCGATAGCTATTTTACACGGCAAATTAACACAAACTATAAGTGTAGTTTAATCGACAATAAAAAAGAAAAACATTTTCAAACAGGCACTAATGTACGTATTATTATAAATTTTAAATATTCGCCATATCTGACGTAGAATGACTAGATAAACGAATATAAATTTATCGTACTACATCTGCGAGTAGCACCTAGACAACAAATATGCTATAATTTATATGATTAATAAATATTACATTAATAGGTAGTTTGTTACTTTCGATATTATATTATTCATGTTTACAAAATATTTAATCTACGTAAAAATGTCACAAATAATACGTAACCATCTGACATTGAATGAGCCAGCCTTAAGAACACTGAACATGCTAATGTTCTATCTACGCGTGTCTACGTTGGTCTCATTACGACAGCCAAAAAACTAAACTGATAATATAATATTGCCTTATACCGAATCGGTAAAGTATCACAGAAATTAACCATACCTAGCTAAACTATGACGTTTTCAATAACACACATTACGAAACACATCAAGATTTGGTCAATGTATATTAAAATATTACGATAATGCATGCACTAGTCACAAGTGCCAAGGTAAAACAAAATTATAGTTTTAATAATACATAGACTTAGGTACCACTCAAAGCTTACCAAAGTATATGAATACGAGGCCAATTAACTTGAAATATGATTAGGCCTTGAAGTATTTAATTTTAATAATAAGCTAGAACAAATATTTACAATTTTATCAAATAATAAACACTGGTAATGGTGCAGCCATCACTGGAAAACGTCTATACCTACTTACAACTCTATCTAAGAAAAACCATGATATTTGCACCTATACTCAACAGTTTGTCAACTTACTGTACCACAACTTATTTAATCTACTAACCATTGGTATGAAATCTGATTGATGACAATGAAAATAATATTTTATGACCCTTGATGCAAATAACAAAACATAGTAATATCTTAATCAACCCAAATATGATATAAGCATTTATCATAATTTCTCTTCGACATTGAAATATAGGAAGACTAGAAACTTCATACACAAAACCTGTTTGAGTAGTCAAGTTTTATGAAGAACATTAGAAAAAGTGAGATTTAAAAAGCAATAATTCAGATGGCTTGTTTAGTTAGCTTGATGTATTTCAGTGCCATCGCCATTAGTGGCCATAGTGGCATATGCTGCAGTGCATGGCCAGTTGTTGTAAATTGACTGCAGAGGAACATGAAGTAACTCCACCAGATTTCGGTAGTGAGGTTCTGAAAAACAATTAGTAATTTGTATAAAAACAATTCATATCTTACCATGTAAGTACAGTGGTAATAAAGGACAGAGAGCAGTATAAAACTATGTTTCTTACCATTCTCTGGATTAATGTGTCCTTTACGTATCAAGAAGTCCAGAAGGACTGGTGCACTCGTTGTCTTAAATTGAGGTGTCAAAGCCCTCTGGATACACTCGTCGGCAGTCAATAACTCGAAATTCTCCACCTCACCATCAGCATTTTGGGGCATAAAGTCAAGGGGCAACTCAAGATCATACACATACTCTGTGTTTGGGAATAAGCCCCTTTCACTTTCAAAGTAAAAACTGTAAAAAAGAAAACAGTATTTAAATATTTTGTAAAACACAAATACATTTCATGTAGTGGTGAATAATTAATGAAGTCGTGATATTCTACCTTACACAGCCAGCTGGAACCAACTTTTTCACTAGTTCTCCTTCAACAGAAGCTTCCTCAGCAGCCTCCTTTATTGTAGTCTCCAGAATACCATAGCCAACAGCCAGGCCACCACTCACGAAACAATCCCATTTGCCTAAAAACATTCATAGTTGACAGTGTCTTTGCAAAATCATACTATTGATAAATATGAATAAATACAGTAAATTGATTAACTGGACATCCAATTATCCAGAATTATATCACTATGCACTGTTCTGTTTCCTGCCTCTGAGTGTTTACTCCCACTCAAGTTTATTTTGACTTTAATATTTGACTTAACTTTTAAATTAATCATCATTCACTTATACAATCTTTCTTCTTTTATTTTTTGATTATATTGTTTATCAATCTCTTTTTACTTTTTACTAACCTGGCCAAGTTTGTTTAGTAAAGCTTCTCTGCTGTAACCAAATGCAGAGGCCTTTTGTTGGATGGTTGACATAACCAGTGACACTCACACCATAGCTCCTGATACCAAACAGACACATGGCACTTCTGTCCATTTCCAACAAACTCTCAGGATGTAATGGTGTAGTTACTCCAAAACACTGGAAGAAGTACATCATCATTAATTTATACTGGTAAAAAAGTAAACATAACTATTTTTAAGATGTATCTTACTTGGAATCCTATTAGAGTGTAAAAAAAATCTAATGATACAAATAATGCATTGCAATATGAAATAGCTAAATAATGATCATGCAAAAATCAGTCTACATTATAATATTCATGTTTCCTGTAAGTTTGATAACAATTCATTATAGACTTCTCTATCTTCACTGCTTATCACAGAACACTATCATTATATAATTAATTTCTATATCAGACAGTAACCTCGTGTTAGTGGTACCTAATGTGAGGTTACTGTTCCATTTTCCTTCCCACCAACTCTTGTGGTTTACAACAGATAACATACATTTTTATTTTTGACATGCCAATATTGTATCCCATTTAGAAATGAAATATACATAGTATTTTTTTAAATAAAATAAGTCACATCTATGACCTGGTTGGCATTGTGTCAAAATTATTATGTTACTTTTAAACTTCTTTTCATATCCTATTGCCTAATAAAATGTGTTGAACACAAGACTTTGAAATGGATCCTTCTTTTAAAAGTTGAAATAAATATCAGAATTACAAACCTCATCTCTCCAGCCTTTCAGGGCACATATATCATTTTCTTTTCTCAAGTTCTGCAACACATCGGCTACCTTTGTTGACCTCTCTTTATAGTCTCTGAATGCTGGGTTCAGCTCTACATACTTGCCAGTGATTCTGAACACCTTTAATTTGAAATGGTTTGTAATTGAAGAATTTGTTACTTGGTTCTATATAAAATAAAATAGGTACTGACATCTAATTGCATATTGCATTGTTTTAAGCACATTATTGTTAATTGCATTAATATATTATGTTATGCAGTAGGAATTTAAATTAGATAATAGGTTAGGTTATATTGCACTAATATGTATAGATTTTCAGTAAGAATGTACTCATGGTGGAATGAATTCATAGAATCAAACTAAAGTATTGCAAATACTGATTGACTTCACCAAAATTATTTGATAAAAATGTGTTTTCGACCAGTTAATACTATTTTATTCATATTCTAGCAGATTCTTATTGGAATGTGATAAAAATACTATACATGTTGTAAAATACAAACCTCTGGAAATCTAATTAGATACTTCATAACATCAGGACGAATCAGGCCCACTTGATATCCGGCAACAATAAACGGTTTGCATACACCCTGATGCAAGCCTTGAACAATGCAAAATATGTAAGCAAACAGTACAGGTAGCTTCTTCAGCAGCTTGTTATTACAAACACAGAATACACTGCCTAAACAGTCACATAAGTTCCTCTACAAATAACTCAGAAATTATACGCAATCCAATTACGTACCTGATAGATAAAAACAGTTGAATTTTTTGGCTAATTTGAGTAGATCCGAAATGTTGTTCTGTGCAGACGAATACATATTTTTCATAGTACTATTCCACACAATTTGTAAGCAATAAATATGTCTATTTAAGCCTATACAAATTTGAAATAACAGCAACGAAAGCACTGAGAGCCGAAAGTCGTTAAAACGAAAAACGCTGAAGTATTGTCCTGTCCTTGTTCAGCAAAATCACAATGTCCGTCCGTCAATCAAATCACTGACGAATAGGGACTGGCGACAAAAACAAATGACAGTTTTAGGGATGGGCTAGCAAAGCAAAGGTAGGGCTAGTAGAGTAGATGAATTTCAAATTTTATTTTTTAAGACCAGGCAGTCCATACTGAAGGTATGTAATTTCGTGATTTTGATATCTCATACAAAAATAGTAATGTATTGTGTTTGCTTTATATGAAGTTTTAGTTGTAAAGATTTATCTACAAGTAGCATTCAATGAATTTCCGAACGAAAGTTTTCTTTCTTATTGCGCTGTCACTGTCATTATGACAATAATAATGACGTTTGAGAGTCCGACTCGGTTTCTTCACTTGCTTGTTTAAAATAATTTAATTTCATATTCATAACCATAATATTATTTGTGCGATCATATTTAATTCATACAATATTAATGTTAGAAAGTTTGCTATAAGTATTTAATTTAATGATAAACTAAATCAGTCATTTAGTTATCTTAGACTTTAGTACAATATAATCACTATTCCAAACAACACAGAGTGGATGTGTTAGGATTTTACAATGTCTTCAGATAGTTATGGAGTATTGAATGATTTAGCGCCAGTTTTTCGTCCTTACATTCAAAATGTTTATCAAGATTTGCAACTTGGTGGGTACATGCCTTGTGATTCTTCTAAGAAGTGTGACTTGCTGTTTCAATTAACAAAGGTTTCTAAAATTTATAGGCTTATGCAAGACTAGAGTTGACTTCGAAAGAGTATCGGGGCGTTCGGAAGGTGGTGATTGTCAGATCAGAATAGTATTACCCTACTGCTCAAAAAAGCTAAAATGGGAGATTATATTTGACAGTTCAGCTCCATGGTTCGCGCCAGATTTTAGATTTGATGACGAAAGTTTTCTTATGAATGTTGATGAAATATTTCTAGAAGAAAAAGTACCTTCTCTATCCAAATGGAATGAAAATGATCCAAAAGCACTAAGTGATGTCATTTCTGAACTCATTAGTTTATATAAACTTCATCAAGTAAGGGAAATTACTTGCAATACTTTTGCTCTGAGTTATAACAAATAGACACTGCTAAAAATATTTCTTTTTTCAGATAAAGAAGCTAAATGAAGATGACAGTTCTAGGGCATACTTTGAATACAGTGCCCTACTTGGAGATGCACTTACATCTGAGAATGATATTGAAGTGTGGGTTGGTGGCCATGTTGTGGAATTTCTGATCAGATTGAATGTTGACACTTCCAGATTGCCAGAAGTATACAGTGATGGGTAAGTTGATAATATGGAAATAGATTACTGTTTGGAGCGCAAGTTTTCTGTATGAGAATTGCAAGACAGAATAAATTCCTTTATGAATAGTTGACTTTTACAATACAGGTAAATGAAAAAGAATTTTAACACAATATTTTCGTTTTCAGAACAGAAAAGAATCCTGGCATTGACACAGCATTATTGTTAGTAAGATATCCAAACTCAACAAATGCTGAATTGATACTCTCACCCACTCTTACTAAGTCACTTGGGAACATAACATTACCCACGTAAGTAGGCATGAAATATGGTACTGTCTCTGTGTGACTATATTTCATGAAAAATTAGTATTTGTCTAAATGACATATAGACCATTCTTCGTAGATTTTTATAATTTAACACTTTAACCTCCGTGTAGGTCACTGGTGACCTACATTAGCGGAGGATTTTCCTTCAACAGTTTTCTTATTAAACTGTCAAACACCAAGCGGTCACCGGTGACCGCAACCTATTGTTCTATAATTGTGTCTGCAAAACCGGTACTCGACGAGTTA